AATGAAATTTCTCGTAGGTTTCTGGGCTCTTACCATTTGTTTGCACACTTATTCATTGATTATTTTTTCCCATGAGCCAAGATATATTTTACAAATATCAATGGCTATAATATGGCCTACCAACATAATAATTGCAATAATTGGTTTTGTGTTTCAAAATCAAGGGAAACAACACAGTTTTTATGGTCCATCAAGTAGTGCCTGGTGTTGGATTAGCGAGAACTATTTGAAATATAGAATTTGGTTCCACTATTTGTTCATTGCGATTATGGCAATTTCTATGATTGTTTTATATTCGGTCATGTTTATAATAATATATTGGCGACAAGGAAAAATAGGAAGGAAATCCACGAAAAAAGTATTACAACGGAGTGGTAGAAAATTAGTTTACTATCCAGTAATTTATGTTTTATTAGTCAGTCCTTTGGGTTGTCGTATGTTTTATTTTAAATATTTTCAAACTTATTTTGCTGACTGCATAAATTCTCGACTAATTATTATTTCTGATTATTAGTTCGTTTAATTTCTATAACAAAAAGCGCTGATATTCCATATCCATTGTAAGTGCTCTACATTCATTATACATGTACATGTATTATTCTACACATACTACGGAATCATTATACATGCATCATTCTCCTATTTAGAACAATTGCCGCCGGTTGCATATTTACGTCCGCAGGAATTGTTAATAGTATAATCTACGGCTTCACACGCAATATTGTCTCAATAAAACAAGCTTTTCCAAAACTACGATCGCGTCCGAGTTTTCTCGACACCAGTAGTATGACTCACGTGAATATAAGTGTGACTGTCACAACAACAACTGCTAAAATGATATCAGAAGAGGATGAAAAGCCAGAAATGCTAGATGAAAGGAAGCAATAAGTGAGAAATTAGATTTAATATAAGTTAGCGAATATGTATATTGGTGAGCTAAAACATTTTCAAGAAGTTAAAATTGGTCTTTGCCATCTGTATTTTCATTATAATGGATAATAATTTCTCATTAACCTTAAAGATTTGTATTTGATTTTGTTTTATTTAATTAATAAGCTGCTTAATAATAAATACTATTTAAAAAAATAATCTGGTTTATATGCATTATAAATATCTTCAGTACTATATTGCACTAATAATTTATGTAATTAATACTTATTATGAAATTGAAATATAAATTGTTACATATAACTTTGAGAGTAAAATTATAGAACAATATTGTACTGGAAAGAACAAACTATGCAGAGTTTCAATAAAAGATATACATGTATATGAAAAAGCATAGAACTCTGTATATATAAATCAATGCTTGAAAATCTTAAACTTGTCACTCAAGCTGCAATTATCAGAATCTTAAACTTTGACATTGTCAATCTCTTTTCAAGCAGCAATAATTTGTAATTCTAGCCATATAGGTGATAATGTCACAATCATGTGATAAATATTCAAAAATTGCTAAATTTAGGGTCCATCCTCCGAATAAGTCAATCCGTATCATGAACAATAATATGTTGGGATTAGTGCTCCAAGCGGGTCGGGTCCAATCCGTGACCCGACCCGGAACGCACATTTCGGGTCGAGTCGGATTGGGGTCAAACCCGACCCGAAATAATTCGGGTCAGTCTAAAAACGTTATTTTTCGTTCAAAATTAATTGAAATTAAACAAAAATTTGTGGGCATATACACAATTACATTCCGAACAACTATACTTAGACACAAAATACAAATACAATTGTCTTAGTAAAAATAAAAGTTATTAACGCAAAACTATTTTACGATTTTCGGATCAAACCCGATCCGAATCCGACCCGACCCGAAATTATCGGTTCGGGTTGACTTCAAATCCGATCCGATCCACCCGAACAGAGCTTGGGATGAACAATAACGATAACGATAGCGAACAATAATGATAATAATAATAACGAACAATATCACAATAACGATTTATATTATTGGTATTAGTATCTAGTTTATTTTTTGTTATTAACTTTTTCTCACACACTTTTGTCAATTAATTCCAGTTTCCAGAAATAATAAATCAAAACAGACATCCGGATAGCAAGCAATATTCATTTAATGATTAAAACATAATATAAACATTAGAATATAAATCAAAAATCTACAAATTAACAAGAAACGAATTCAATGAAAAATTTAAAGATGCAATAAATGCTTTGGTTGCATCTATATTACCTCCACTCTCTAAAAGCTCGATCACTTGTAATTTTTGCGCTTCCGCCTTCTTCTCTGCTGGAGTCTGAACTGACTCGCATATTTTAATTAGTTCATGACTCTTATAATTTCTAAACCAACTTCTGCAAACGTCTTTTGAAAAGGAATATCGATTATCAACAATTCAGAACCAGAGCCAAAGAGAAGTTGATGATGCATGTGTTGGAAGGAAGTAAATAACAGCGAAAGAATATGTAATGACGTTCCATTGTTATTAGGTTTGACAGTGGCTTTTCTTTCATAATCATCATATTTATAGCTGCAGCTTCATTTATGATTAGCTTTTTGGATCAGATAGGAAAACCTGTAAACTTCTCAAGAATCTCATTATCAAGATCAATTACGCTAACGCATTTATGACAAAGTTCAAGAGCTGTTTTTTGGAATAAATTCACTTCTTGTCATCGAGTTTGATGACAGTATAATATGTATCTAATAAATTTAATATTGCTATGGTGGTGCAGGAACTCTTAAATCGACAATATTTCATGTTAAAAATTCTTTCAACTTAACTAAGAAGTAAATCCAAAATTTAACTGGTAATATTATATAAAAAAATTTCTTGATAATATGTTGGATTACTTCTTAGTTAAGAAATTGAAAGATATTTAACATGAAACATATTGTCGATTTAAGAGTTCCTGCACCATAGCAAATATTAAATTATATAATAAGCATTTGGAATCATTAAACATCTTAAAGCAAAAGTTTCAGTAACTGGATTTCTACATCACCATATAAAAAAAACTCACCTATAAGACTGTATTTTTTGGCTGTTATTCATTTAACTTCACTGTGATTTTGATATGATTTCAGTGAATTTGTTGAAGTGACCTGCAATAAAAGAGAAGAATGTTAATGCATCCAAAGAGTACCATTAGTAAAAAATCTTCAAAAATTTACTATATCGAAAGTTTATTAGTAAATTTACTATAACGAGAGGATTTATTATAGACTGGTTTTGGACGAACTTTACTATATCAAGAGTTTAATTAGTCTTTACTATAACAAGAGTCACTTGTAATTATGGTTATTATAACAAACTATAACAGAAACGGTGATGATATTTCAAATAACTTCCTTGTAATTAATTTTCATTCTTTTATACATTATTAAGATTAATTGATTATATGTTACCAAATGATAAATTCTTTGGTATTATATATACAATAATATTATAAATCTGCTTAGATGTATAGATCACAAAGCATGTCAACAAAATACAAATACATGAATTACCGTAAGCGCTCTGTATAGTAACCCCTCTTAGTCCAATTTTTTTTAGTAAATCCAATTATTTTTTCCGCAAATAATTAAATTAGGTTTCACTATGCGATTTTTTAAAAAAATTTAGTTGCTGGTTTAATAGCCTTGAGATTAAATTGAGCGTGAGGTTTAAATTTTTTAAATTTTCTACAAAGGTCCTATAAGAAATTGTGTCCCGTAAATAATGGGTGAAAGATGCGTAAATATACGAAAACCAACACAAACATCCGCAAAACGTGACATTTTACATGTGTAAAGCACGTAAATGAACACGAAAAATAAAAGTCACACGATTTGTCACATAAAAATTAAACATACATGTATAATGTCGATCAATTTAAAAATCAATGTAATTACATTTTTAAATTTTTCGTCTAAAGTCTCAGCCAAAGCACTCAAAGAGCCTTTAAATAAAGTTGCTGCCTGTGTCTCCGCGAACAAAATAATATATAGAATGTAAAAAAATAACATATCCCTATAGAATAATATACCTTCAAAATTGGCATCCATTTTGTCTTCTTTCGTTAGATTATTCTCCAGTTCGCAAAATTTTGGCATGAAAAGTAATTCATCAGATGCGCCTAAGTGAGAGCTTTCTGCGAACTACTATTTTGAGGGAATGGTATATTATAAACAAGGCAAAGAAAACTGGTTTTTTACTATCGATCATAGGACATGTCCAGAAAAATTTGAGCAATTGCTGCTCATTAATGATCGGCACCGCCACACTTCAGTGGATTTTCATGTGTAAATTTTCGAATTAGCTACCTTTTGTAGTTCAGAGTGTTCGTTCATAGAGCCATAGGATTTTAGTCCATCTCGAGTAAAGGAAGTTAACCAATATGAAATGTTATAATAGGTGTGTAATGCAACGTAATTAAATGATGACTGATAATATAATACGTAGCAATTAATGTTAGCTACGAATAAGTAGTAAGCAACTATAATTTATCGATAACTAAGCGATAAACACCAAACAAAATTAAACGAATAACAACAATCAAACAGAAATAAAAATAAGCAATTACAATTAAATACAAATAACGAAGAAAAACAAACCTAAAAATAAGAGACAACTTCAATCAAAAGCAGAAATTACAATCGTTTTCAAACGGTTACTACGTATAATCAAACGGAAGCTACGATTAAACGGAAATTACAATTAAATTGAAATTTAAGAAATAACTAAAAATAAGTGACATCAACTAAAGATTACAATTAAACCGCAAATTATGGAAGAAAAAGACATTTTCGCACAGCACGTCATTACTAGAAGTTTAGAATATGATGATCCCGATAGAGATTACGAAATTCTTGATAACTATGAAAACTACAGTTGTGTAGATATTGGTTCTGAAGTTCCTGATCACCCACCTCCTCTGCTACTACTACTTCTGCTGCTGCCACTGGTACTAACAATATTAATGCTGACTTTTTTGATAATAACTATGCTGATAATTTGCGTTTTGATGAAAAATCTTTTAATTTAATTCACAATTTAATGAAACAAATATCAAATGAGTATGAACAAGAAGAAGCAAGTATAAATTGGTTGGCATCTGATATCAATTGTCAGTCAGAAGTGGAATCTACACGGATCATATCAACAAGCGAGACTGAAGATACTGATTATTGTTATGATATTGATAATACTTCAATAAAAGTTGAAGAGTTTGTTCAATGTGTAATTGTAGACATTATCAATAACAAAGTTCAAAGATATACCAATTCTGTATCTCGTCCAATTAAACAGCTACAGGGAACATGGGAGTTAGATTTTGTATTGGCAGATGAGAAAATAAAGAAATATGGAAGTAAAGCTTTGCAATTATTAGGTGTATGCTCTAGTCATTTTAATTTTGATCAAGATAGGATTTACAAGAGAGATACAAAAAATAAAATGCCAATTAAAAAGGTCTGAATTCATCAATGTCATTATCTATTTTGTTATAGTAATAAGTACTTTTTTAGTAGAGGTGCTTGCATTGAGCATTCTTGGAAAGTTCTAGAGCACAATTTACAAGCTTCTTGTATTGGATTAAAAGATTGTCCAGTTATTAAAGATGATTATCTTTCTCAGAAATCATTAAGTAACTATCATGTATGTTATATTTGTTCTTTTTGTTTTTTAGCAGAAGATCAATATTTTATTAAACAAAAAGAAAAAGAAATTAAAAAGGTAGAATACTTTGATCAACATAAAAATGATTCTTTCAAATCATTAGATCTCATTGAATAATGAATACAAAATATAACTACATCATCGAATAATATTACTAAAATATTCTTTTAAAAGCAATTGTTAATTTTTTTAAAAAAAACCAAAATTTCAAAACTCAAAAAAGATGAAAATCAGATTCAGAGCTTTTATATATTATATTACAATCATCACCATCTAGTTTTCTGGTTATTAAAATGTTATTATATCTAAAAAAAATTAATTTTCACAAATTTCAATAATACAGTAAGATATTATAATTTAATTAAAGTAAATCCTGTTGCATTTAATAAGATATTAAATATGATATTATAAAAATTATAACCTGAAATTCGCATACAAAAAAATTATTATAAGTTTCACAAATATTTGATGAATATTGATATAGTTTTCTGATTATAATTCAGAAATTTTTTAATGAATTTATTCAAAAAAATGGCATATTATTCAACAAAAATAAAAGAATTGTGATATAAAACTAAAAAAATTTGATAAAACATGTATTATAATTTTTTAATTTCAGTAATTTTAACTATAACATTTTTTAATGTTAATATTTGACACTGATCGAACAAGATGAATTTCTTCCTGGTCAAAAATTGATGTAAATATGAATAATATTATGAGATTACACCCTGATAAATCCAATGACAAAAATATAAACAAATTTTTTATCAAAAAAATTATAGTTTCATATCTTATTTAAATTAGATAAAATTTAAATTACACTTAAAGGAAATTCATGACAAAACTATAATTAAAATTCTAAATTATCAATATTATATATTCGAGTATAGAAAAAAATAAGTGTAATTATTAATAATAATATAAATAAAAAATAATATAATAAAAAAGAGCAAATAAAAAATATTGTTAGTAGATATGGATAATGTTACAATTATATTATAAAATTTCACAAAATTATGAAGATTATGTAAAGAACTTAGAATGTTTCACAATTTCTTTATTAATTATATTCATATATTTTTATTTTTCTACCTTGTCTCTTATACTTTTTTTACTTTTTTTACTTTGTACTCTTATACTTTTTATACTTTTTCTACTTCATATTCTTATACATTTTATACTTTTATACTTTTATACTTTTTATACTTTTATATATTTATATTTTTTATACTTTTTATACTTTTATACTATTTATTCCAAATAGATATAATTTAACCAATCAAAATTCTTTGAAATTGATACTTTTTCTCTTTTATTTTTCTACTTTCCATATTTAGTAAATTGAAATTTTATTTTTAGTTAGTATAATTATCTTTTATATCTTTTCCTTGTTTTTAATATTATATTTATATTTCAAAGAAAATATATAAATATACATTGTAGTTGAGCTCTAACTCAACATGTTGGAACTTGAGAATAAATAATATAATAAAACAAATACTTTTTAATACTTAAAATAATTCGCATTCTTTTCTCAAAAGTATACTTCAAATCTTGCAAACAAGTAGCTTTGAGACCATATTGAGCTGATCAAAATATTGATATTAGATTATTAAATTGATATTTTGTTATAGACTAGTCTTTTAATATTTTTGTAATAATTGAATTATTTGGAATTCCTTAACTAAAGATATCATAATCTCTTTCTTGTATGAAGAGCAAAGTAAAAGAGTCTTTATTACTTTTATTATTTTTGTTATTTAATTAGTTAGTTAAATTATTAATTTCTTCAATTAAATAATTTATAAATTAATTAGTTAATACAATTATTTGGAACACTATACCTAATTAAAACACTATTACTTTATTTTTTTCCTCTATCAAATTATAACAATTTCAGTAAAAATTGACATAGAACTTAGATATTATTTTCATATTCTTCTTATATTTGTTTAATTATTTCTTCCAATCCTTGTTTGTATTTATTAGCTAATTATCCAATTAGTGAAAAATGTATAACAATAATCAAAAAACAAAAGTAAAACTAATAGGATAAAATTAAAAATTAAATTTTCTGAGTCTAAAAATAATATTTATAAGCTTATTTTCATTTTTAAATAAAAGATTCTCTTTAATATAATTATATCATAAATCAAAAAAGAAGTAAGTAAAATTTATTTTTGTTTATTTTCATTCATATTTTTTAATATATTTTTTACAAATAGTATTAAAAATCAAAAAAATAAATAAATTTACCTTTATTCATTTTCATTATTCCTAAATAAAAAGATTCTCTTTTAATATTATTCTCACAAAATAGTATTAACAATCAAAGAAAGATCTTTCAAGTCCAATTTGGTAAATTATAACTTTTTCAGAAATATAACTTATATTGTGAGCAAAATATATTAATTATACTTCTAATTAATTTCTTTAACTTTGCTTGACTTTGATATTAATTTTTTTCAAGCAAAATTAAATTAATTAGTATTGATTTATTAGTATTTTGATTTTAAAATTATTAATTAAGTATTAATCTTATATAACTGATATAGTAATTAGTCTTTTTTAATTATTTTAATATTTTGATTTAGTATTTGTTAACTTTGGTACTATATAATTCCTTTGTAAAATTCATTATATTTCAAAAAATGAATATTTAAATAAAAATTTTGAATTTTCTTTTAGTTATTCAAGAAGTTATTCTGATTTTTAATAAATATATTAGATAAAATTTTTTCAAATATTCATTATAATATTTTTCTTTTTTGATCTTGATTTCTTATGTATCTTTGCATTTTATTCCATTTATACACTTGAATTTTTTTATTTTTTTAGATATTCTTTGTATAAATGAGAAATATATTATTCAATAATATCTATAATAATATTTAATAATATTTTTTTTACTAGTGAATCATAATTTATTATTCCTATTTGCTACAGTATAATCGCACTCTAATTCTATGCTAATTTAACTTACAAAGTAAGAATTACAAATTAAATTTAAAGAAAAGAGCCATCA